AACTTCTCAGGACCAAACCTGTTTCCTCAGCTGTATAAAGAAGGCAATGCCACCTGCCTTGCCATGATGGCTGGGGTGATGCTGGCGCCTGGGACAAAGCTGGTCCTCAGCACACAGCCACCTTTTCCCCCACTAGCATCCCCTCGCCCACTGCCTGGCCCATTTAGCCCAGAGATGGAGGCTGTCCCAGTGAGCTCAATGTTGTTCCCAAGGTCCCTTCTGCCATCACCTTGCTGCCAAGCACAACAACTCACAAAAGCTGGAACCTCTTGGGCAACCCTAAGTCCCGCTTACTGTGTGAACCTCACTGAGTTGGGGCACTTCCTCCAGGACTTTGAGTTCAAAGGCTTTGCAGGCAGGTTGCTATTTGAGGCCTCTCCCAGAGCCTCCACTTTGACACGTGCCCGGTGCCTAGCTCCTCTGCAGAGTCGCCTGGGCTCGGACAACCTGTGCCATCTTGGGCTCACCACTGCACCTCTGTTTCGAACTTCAGCTTCCTCTACTGTAAAGCAAGGTGATAATAGGAGTGACCACCCGAGCCTGTTTCTCAGACTCAATGAACTAATGCCTGTGTGCCCTGCATGGGTCTAGGCCTTGTGTGTGTGAGACCCTAGCCATGAATCGAGAATGTGCTTTACATTTCCCTACCCCCACTGCCTATGTTCATCGTGACAAAACTTCCAGCAGCTACAGGAGAAGCCCGATGTCATAGGATTCACTGCCTGTGAATTCTTGGCTTTGCACAAAGCCTGCCGTCCTCAGCAGGGAGCCAGGCTCTCCTGGCTCATCTATGCAGGGGCAGCTGGAGAGGGCTTGGCCAGAGCCCCCTCTCCAGGCCAGATGGTCCCTGGGGCGTGGTCTCAGTGCTCTGCTCTGGCCTGGGAAGGATCCCTGCCTCCTCAAGGGAAAATGTCAGTTCACCGGCTTTGGACTCAGTCTTCCAGGTGATGGGGAAACTACCCATGGAGCTTGGAGCTGAGCTGCACCCGGGCCACAGAGCCTAGGGATGGCTTTCTTGGTGGGAAGGCATAAGACACCCTCTAGCTCCCCTGTGACTCTGGAGTCAGGAGACCCACGTGACCTCCATCTGCTCCAACCAGTGGAGAGAAGGAGATGGGGTGGTGGCGCTGTGTGCAGCCCCAAGAGAACCAGGATCATTTCATTGGTGAAGCCATTTCATGTGAAGATTGAAGGGGAGAAAAATGTTCTTCCATTGAAACTAATAGGAATTGTGACAAAATCAATATTATTTTACTTTTGTCTGCTTGTGTGCCCGGGAAGGGCTCATGTCACATGGTCCTAGTACTTCCATTGGGGCCATGGGACTGCTTTCTGGCCAATGGCATGTAGGGGGAGGTGGAGTCAGCCCCTCTCTGAACAACATCCCCTGAGGACCCCTCTTTCCCCCTCATCTCGCCAGGGGCAACTGGGAGGCTGTGGTTGATGAGGAAGAGGCTGGAGCTTGTCAGCTGAGAGCCATCCTGAGCCAACCAGACCCAAGTGACCTTTGCGTTCACAAGAAATAAACGTTGGCTGTGTGAAGCCCCAGAGCCCTGTGGGTTTATCTGTTATCTATTCACGGTGGCCGAACCTAGCCCAACTAAAGATGTCAAATAGAGCAGAATGCAGTATTTACAGGACTTTCAATGCTAACACTAGTGGCTTCGAATAAATGGCTGCTTGTAGCTGGCCTCTCTGGGACATGCCCTCAGACTTCTGACCCATTAATGTCTGGGGTCTGTCTCCTCCCAGCACAGCTAGTGATGGATCCAGTGACCCACCAATGCCACCCGCCGCGGGCTCTGGAAATAGCTCAAAGCAGGTCTATTTACATGGTAGGTGAGGAGCTATGATGGTGGAAATTCTTCAGTGGGTCCCATCATCCACCCTAGATGTCTGATGATTAGTGTCCAGTGGCAGATGAGCCCAGGGCCAGCCTCAGGGGCTTCCAACAACTGTTCTACCAGGGGCAAAAGAAGCCAGGTGATGGACGAGGTGTCCGTGTCCCTCCCAAATTCATCTGATGAAATCCTAGCCCCCAGTGTGACGTGCTAGGGATGGGAGTCCTTTGGGAAGTGATTAGGTTGTGAGGGCGGAGCCCTTGTGAATAGGAATAGTGCCCTGGTGAAAGAGACACTAGAGAGCTCAGTCACCCTCTTCCTACCATGTAAGGCTACAACAGGTCTGCACACCTGGAAGAGAACCTTGGCCAGGACCCAACCGTGCAGGCGCTGTGATCTTGAACTTGCAGGCTCCAGAACTGGGAGAAATAACATTTCTGTTATCAACCGCCCAGTGTACTTTACTTTGTTATAGCAGCACAAATGGATTAAGACACCGGCTGGGTGCGGGGCTCACCCCTGTAATCCCAGCACTTTGGGAGGCCGAGGCAGGAGGATCACAAGGTCAAGAGATCGAGACCATCCTGGGCAACACGGTGAAACCCCATCTCTACTAAAAGCACAAAAATTAGCTGGGCGTGGTGGCTCATGCCTGTAGTCCCAGCAACTCGGGAGGCTGAGGCAGGAGAATCGCTTGAACCTGGGAGGTAGAGGTTGCAGTGAGCTGAGATCGCACCACTGCACTCCAGCTTGAAGACAGAGTGAGACTCCATCTCAGGAAAAAAATAAAAAAGGACACCAAGCCAATATCTGGAGGCGAGAGGTCCCAGCTCCTCCCTGGGTCCCAATGTGTATCAGCCCAGCACATGAGCACCGGAGCCAGCATGACACATACATCCTCCAGGGCAGGGCTGGGGGTCCTAGCTGGGCTCAGGCAGCCTGAGGAAGATGCTGCTGTGGTCATGACCTTGAATGAGTTACTTCTCCTAGGCTGCCAGCTTTGTGAAAAACTGGAATTGCCCCACAAGTAAAATATTGTAAGTGATTACGGCATTTGAAGCTTTTTTCTTACATGCAACCCCAATATATGAAACAGCTAGCTGAGCTGCTCTAGGGTTTCATGGGATCTAGCTTGAAAACTCCTGGCCTGAGGCTCTCTAGGTTCCTTTCTGTGGGTATTTGGTGAGGTGATGGGCTGGGGTGGTGCAGGCTTCTGATCACACAGGGCAAAACAGATTCCTTCATGGAAGAGGCCTTAACTCATGTCTCTAACTTGCTGGGCATTTGGGGCAAGCCCCTTCTCCTCTCTGGGCTTCCCTGCCTCATGTGTAATATCGAAAGGCTGGGGTCAGCCGTGGATACTATCTTTTTTTTTTTTTGAGTGACCCTGACTATTCACAGCACCCAATGTGGCCAAGACTATTTCCAATTTTGTATTTTATTATCTGATAGATTAAAATTAATCCCATGTTTTAGTTTGCATTTACTTATTACTGGTATTGACTCATCTTCTGTATCTTGATACTTTTTTTTTAATTGCATTTTAGGTTTTGGGGTACATGTGAAGAACATGCAAGACAGTTGCATAGGTACACACGTGGCTGTGTGATTTGGTGCCTTCCTCCCCTTCACCCATATCTGGCATTTCTCCCCATGCTATCTCCCCCGCCACTGTCCCTCCCCTATTCCCCCCAATAGACCCCACTGTGTAGTGCTCCCCTCCCTGTGTCCATGTGTTCTCATTGTTCATCACCCGCCTATGAGTGAGAACATGTGGTATTTCATTTTCTGTTCTTGTGTCAGTTTGCTGAGAATGATGTTCTCCAGGTTCATCCATGTCCCTACAAAGAACACAAACTCATGGTTTTTGATGGCTGCATAATATTCCATGGTGTATATGTGCCACATTTTCCCAGTCCGGTCTATCATCGATGGGCATTTGGGTTGATTCCAGGTCTTTGCTATTGTAAACAGTGCTGCAATGAACATTCGTGTGCATGTGTCCTTATAGTAGAACGATTTATAGTCCTTTGTTATTGTAAAGCTCATCAGGTCAGTCTGGGAAAGCTGTAGTTGCCTGGGTTACAGACAGAGGTGGGGTCTGAGCCCTGAGGGGATCCTGGGGGGTGGGCAGCAGTGTGAAAGGGCCCTTCTGGCCTTCACTCAATCCCCCAAAGACATGCCTGGCCCAAGTCAGCCCTAAGCTCTCACGCTGCCCTAGCTGCCTCTCCTCCAGGCTGCAGGGCCTCGGGCAGGCAAACCCGGTTTTCTCCAGCAAAGAGTGGCCCGACAGCTCCGCCACACTGCAGAGCCGTGACCTGTGACACAGGAGCCTGGGACCGAGGTGCTGGTCCATCTGAGGAATGTGCAGAATCTGAATGGGTCATAAAAAGGCGAACTGGGATCCAAAGGACTGGCGGGGTCACCCGTGGGAACAGGGCCTGCGTAAGTGGCCTCCCTGGGCGTGGGGGGCCATGTGAAATCAATGTTTCTCTGACACCAGTGGGTGAGGGGATTTCCAGGGAGCTGGGGTCTCACTTTATTTTTAACTCAAGGCCATCTGCTTTCTACTTGCCAAATATTCTGAAATATTCAGAGTAGACATATGCTGCTCCCCAAGGGTAGAAGGAGAGGAGGGGTGATAGGAGGGGGCGGAGCGTCTGTTACCAGGGACAGAGCCACCAGCTGGACCAGCGGCCCTAGGAATTGCCTCTTTAGTGTGGGGTGAATGGTTTAGTTCTCTAGGGAGGCCCCTGCCTCTAGATTCCCCAGTGAGGGTGAAACGTGCAACACTCACCAGTCTAGCCGGATCCGGGCACTGGGGCTCCTCCTGCATGCAGCGGGCTGCAAGCGGCCATCCTCTCTCCCAGGGCAGCCACAGTCTCCACCAAACTCTAGGTCCCTCCCTCCCTAAGGGAGACTGTCCCCAGCAGATCAAGGGTTGGAGGATTTTCTAAACCCCTCCCTCTACCTCTCCCAGGATCTCACAGTCCTTGAGGTAATATTTAGCTTCCCAGGCAAATATTAAGCATAAAGGGAGAAAAAAAAATTAAAGGTGTCCTTTTCTCCATGATTGACCCCAAGTGAACAGGCACTGTCCACCCCAGTGGATTTGCTGTCAAAAATTATCACCCAGAACAAACTGTCAATACTTCGCTGTCGTTTCTACAACGAGCCTGTGTTTAGCAACACTCAGCTTCGTTTTATTATTGCATTTTACAAAGTTGCCAAGACAACTGAGGCCAAGTAACAGAACCTTGACTTTATGCGCCATGAAAATTTAATAAAGAATTTTTAAAGGCTTTTAAGAGGCAGGAGCTGCAGTCTCTTAAAGGCAGAGCTCAGCATGGAGCAGGGAGGGCTGGAGCACCTGGGGCCTCTCACCAGACCTCCAGGAGCCTCCCCCGTCAGGGAGGTGGAGCTGGGCAGACGTATTTCCTGGCATCTGTGTCGTTTCCTTGCTTTGAGACCCTCCCTTTTCTCAACAGACAGGTATCAAGACACTTCGCAGGTGCCAAGTCCCACACTCGGCTCTTTACATACATTGTGATGTGATCCTTACTATCTAGGCAAGGAGCAGGGATCAGAGAGGTAAAGTCACTGGCCCATGGCCATTTAGGGAGAAAAGGACAGACACAGCCAAGTTCAGACCCAGGTCTGACGGCAAAGCCCTCACTTTCCTGAACAGTTCACAGCCTCCTCTGGGATTCTTAGCCCTCATTTTTCCCATTCTGATGCAAGGGCTTCTGAAGGGAAAATATCCCTGTGGTCTGGGAAGGTCTGGGGGAGCAGACAGTGTTCTGTGGCCCAAGACTGGGTACTGGTTGGAATCTTAGCAAACTCCTTCTTCATGTTGGAGGCAAGGTTTCCCACGAGCCTCTTGGTAAGCACGACACTACCCTGGGGCTGCAAAGAGCCCTTTCCACTCCGCTCTCTAAATAAGACTCAGAAGCCAATCACCAGAAATTAGAAAAACATCAGTAATTTTGCCATTTTCCGCCAAAGTTCGGCAGTGCTCAGTGTGTGTGTGCGTGCGTGTATGTGTATGCATGCGTGTATGTGTGTGCGTGCGTGTGTGTATGTGCGTGCGTGCGTGTGTGTATGTGCGTGCGTGCATGCATGTGTGTATATAAGTATTATGCCATGTGGTTTTCCCGGTTATATAACAATCAAGACTTTTGGCTACTGGAGATAAAGGTAATTGAAGCTGTGGCCTATTCTGCAGAGCTGCTCCAGAAACAGAAAAAAAATTAGACTTATTTTGTGAGGGAGAAATTCGTATGCCATATGGGAAAATTTCTCTCACATTCATCAAACCAAAAGGGAGATTGGCAAAAATATCCATCAAGGCGAGGTGGATTTCAGGTTAATATACACGGTAGTGAACGATCCCTCCATGCAAAGAGGGCAGCGCTCTCGGCGGCGGCAGGGAACGCCAGCTCCCTGCTGGGAGAGCCATCATTTCTGAGCTTTCAGGGAAGATGTTCTCTTGTCCTGGCCATTGCAAGCCCAATTCTCAATTAGAGGGCTGAGGAGTAGAGGACATTAGTCAAGAAATGGGGAAAAAATTAAGCTATTCTGGAGGGACACTGCCAATCACAAGGCACATTCCGGGTGTCAGAGAAGCAGCGGAATAATTTCTCAGGCTATAAATGTCTTTAAATATGTGGGAATGAAGGGGAGGAGGGGAGGGGCAGGAAGAGCTGACTGGTGTGGTTTCATCTGACTTGATGGATAACATTATTCAGGAAAGAGCTTTTACCTTCATCCCTTTACACTTTGTAGGAAGCCAGTAGCCAGGCTGAAGATAACGCTGCAGCACTTTGGTCTACAAAACACTTTCGCATTGATGACGTTTTCTGTGAGCTCCTCTTATGCTCCCAAAGATCAAGTGAGACAGGACTTGCTACTCTCACTGAGTGGCTGGGAGAACTTCCTGGGGTGCTCGGCAGGAGGAGAGCAGGCCAGACAGCCCCAAGCTAAGTCCGCAGAACTGAGTGGAGCCAACACCCAGCCTTTGTGGGACGTGGGTTTCCACATCTGCAAATGGGATGTTTTGGGGAGCACTGAGGCACCGTGCAGAACCAAGAAGTGCTGAGGAAGGAGTGTGGGATCTGGAGCCAGCTGGAAGCCTCTGGGGGACCCTGGCTCTGTGCTTCACCAGCCAGAGACCTCGAGACCTCAGTCAGTCACTAAGCCTCCTGGAAGCCAGTTCTCCACCTCAGGGAAAAAAGAGTGCCAACGATCCTCATCCTTCATGAGGTTGGATGGATCTAAAAGTACTTGCTAAACTGTGAAGGATTGAGCATGTGCAGATAAAATCATGTAGGATAAGGACACCATTCCAAGTGTCTGTGCCCCTACCCTCCCACTTCCTTCCCCTGGCTACCCACATGCACATCAGGAGGACCTGCTGGGAACTTACCAACTCCACACAAACTCAGGGCAATGCAGAGTTGAAGGGAGGCTGGCTGGAGGGGTGTTGTTGGTGAGGACTGTCCAGCCTGGCATCCTGTCTCTGAGACTGAACGAGAGGGGGTGCCCATTGGTACACAGCCCAGGTCTGCCCACAAAGGACCGTGGAGAGACACCTAGGGTCAGAGGAGCCATTATTTGTCTACGGACACAAGACAGCTGCCGAATCCCAGGGAGCCAACAAGGCAGGCGGGGATGTAGAGGTGTTCAGCAGATTGGCTTGGCAAGGTTTAGAAATCTGTGCTTCTTAAAGGCATCCACAGGCGAGGCGGAGAACAAGCGCGGTCACACTATCTCTTCTCCTGGGGTCTGCTAAATGTTCCTATTCACAGCAAGCACCCGCTCCGTGCCAACATGGCCCTAGCACATGCCTGATCCTGCAGGAACGCACAACTTGGTGGGAGCCAATGCTGTGGTCCCACAGTATGCGCGACAATACAGGAACTTTCCAGTTCTTGGGAGTGTGGGGAGGGAACCACTCACTCTGTTTTGGGGATTGCAGCAAGGGTATTAGAACTGGGCCTTGGAAGTCTGTTTGCCACTGGGCAGAGGAAGGCCATTCCAGGCAGAGGGGCAGAAGACAAGGATGGCGGGAAATAGCACACCTCCTCCTGTCTGGTGACAACAGATACAAACAGTCCTGGGAGCAGGGGTAGGACAGGGGCTCAGGGAGGCCACAGAGCCTGGCCCTGGGGTGTGGGGGCCAGGCATGGGCCTTACGATGGAAAGAAAGGAAGGGCACCGATGGGGGCTGCTTTCAATAGGCGACTGAACATCAGCTCTGTTGCTCTCCGAGTTCCTTCCACACTAGTGGGGATGGAGGGTAGGGTGGAGGGGTGAGAGGCAGGGAGGCAGCGGAAGCCCAGGCGAGAGATCATATCTGAGTTCGGGGGAGTGGGCAGAGGCTGGGCGGAGAAGGAAGAGGAATCCAGGCAGTTTGTTTTAGGGATGGACGCTCATCTCTCCTGGAAGCCCTGCCTCTGCACATGGGGAGGGGTCTGTTGGGACCAGCACTTGCCAACAGTGGCACTGAATCCAGTGGGTCTTTATAAGCACCTACCGCAGGCTCCATTCTGGCCAGGCCGTGAGGACACAGCTCCTGCCCCTAATAGCAGAAACGCTGAGCCTGTTCCCCTGGGAGGTTGGAAGGAAGGGCAGGCAGGGTCAGCATGGCAGGAGCAAGGAAGCTGCCCAGGGGTACACCCAAAGGGGCAAGACTAGCACAGCAGGAAAGGGTGGGTCTGCCCTGTTCTGATGCATCTCTCCCCAGGTTGGGCCCACTAACTTGTCATACTTGGATGTGAACTCCTCAAACTAAGAACTGGCTGGGCCTGATCTTACCCGTTCGTTCCAAGCCCTGGAGCACCCAGCTCTCCAGGAACTCAGTCAGCAGACTAGGGAGAGCATCCATGTGGCTGGGCTGTGTGTGCGCTGGGGGTGGGGCAAGACAGGTGTCAGTAAGAGGGGGAGGGGACAGGAGAGGGAGAGAGAGAAGACGCTGGAGATGGGTACTGAGGGCCCTTCCAGGGACCGGGCTTATCTCGCAGCAAAGCACAGGGGCTGCACAGCTATGTGCTAGGGCCCCTGGGCCCGCCGGACTCTGGGCTCTGCTTCCTGTCCTCTTGGAGGAAGCAATCTGCTTTTGCTATTGCTTCAATTACACCAATAAAATGAGTGGCCGATTACCAAAGGGGTAAATACAGTGGGACTTCTTCTTAGGAACAGAGGAGGCGGGGTGAGTCAGCTATCACTCATTCTGATAATGGAGCAGCCTCGAAATGCTTTTGGTTGAACTGAAAAGGGGCCAATCTGTCACAAATGGCCTCTCAGAAAATCACCAGCGAGGCTCCGTGTCCTGGGGCTTATTTGGGGCCTTGTCGACAGAGGAGGGGCTACTCCCAGGATACAGGAGCCATGGTGGGGGGAGCAACCTGCCTCCAGATAATGGCAGGGGTGGGAGAGGCCCTTCCTCACCAGGAGAGCTGACGATTTTATATCACCCCAGACAAGGTGGCTGGAATTCAACCTCTTTATTTTATTTTTCAAAACATTCAGTGTGCTTGGCTGGTTTTGGACCCGAACATTGAACTCCATTTTGGCAAATGAATACCGTCTAAAGACCAACCTCAAGAAAGAGTGCCGAGTGAGAACTTTGTTAAGACTCTTGGTGGCTCCCACTTGATGACAAGTGTGCCCCGACTCATTTCCTCTGGCCTTTCTCTGGGAAATACATTTGTTCTGCCAAAGGGCATTGGGAGAGCCGCATGGGGGCTTCCAACGTTGTTTCTCACACTGGACCATTTAGGAGTCCTGACTGCCTTGTCGCATGCCACCAGACCATGACAAGCCCCAGGCAGCCCCGAGCGGGGTAGTCCTGCGGGGTCTCTACTTGGAGCTGAATTCATGCTCGCCTAGGGACAAGGAGCCGACAGACAGACCTGGACCAAGTCCTGACCACATGGCCTCCTGGGCCTTCCTTTCCTCATCTGAAAGGGGAGCAGTGGTACGGACCTGCCCTAGGACCTGGGGAACTGAGCCAATGACACCGCCACCGTGCCCCAAGTAGGGGGCACTCGACACACCTCAGCAGGCATATTCTGCCTGTGCCATCTTCCCACCTATCCCGCCTTCTGCTTGGGAAAATAAAGTCATTGCATAAGTCTGCTGACACTGAACAGCCCAGAGTGGGTTCTGCCGGGCTCGGGCCCACAGCCCCTCTAGGCTGGGGAAGAGCGGCAGCCTTTGGGCTCTGCTAGTGGCAGGGAAGGGGCACTGCACGGCAGCCACACCAGGGGACACCGGTTTTCCTCCTTGAGAGGGTAAGCTCCCGGCAGCAAGGAGCCCCAGACAAGGAGGAACACAGCAGCCCCTGCTCTCAAATCACTTGCCAACAACTGGAGACACCTTGGATTAAAAACCTTCTCTTTGGGTTTAAAAATACCTGGGGAAGGCGGATTCAAGTAACTTGTTTCCACAGATGCTTTTGAGTACCTGTTATGAACCAGGCTGTGGGCTAGGCCGTGAGTCAACTGCTCTTCTCAGTTTGAGGGAAGAGGACTTGGGTCAGGAGGCAGGACAGGATGTTGGCAGGGAGGAAAAAGCTACAGGGGCTTGTCTGGGATGCGCCTCTGCCTCCCACGCCCCTCTCCCTGGCCGTGCATACGAGCCTTTTCTGAGTCCTTCTGTGTACCAGGCACAGTACTAGTGCCTCAAAGACTTTCCTCCACCTCGCTTGGAGCCTGATGATTGACTCTTCCCAGGGCCCTCAGCATCCTTTAAAGGGACCCTCCAGGAAAGCGCCACATCAACCTCAAATCCAACCACACTCTGGAGAGCTTGGCTTTGCCAGGTCAGGTCTGCCTGTCTTCAATGGGACCTGCACCCTGACGTGACCAAGGCTGTTTCCAAAACACCACCTTCCGCTGCCTCTGAGGTGTTTCCTCTGAGAGGGGGGCTACCTGGGGATACAGATGGAGACAAGGAAAGGGTCTCATGGAAGAGAGAGCTTGAGCTTCCCTGTCCCTGGCACCAAGCCTAACATGCACTCCTCCTCTCGCTCTGGTTCTCATCCACGTCTGATTTCCTCTCCTTACTAAGGGCTCCCAACACAGTGCTGGGCATGCAGGGACACCTGGCAGTGCTTCTTGTGGACACACTGGCCACGTGACCAGCACCCTACCTATGCAGGGGTCCACTCTGACCATCTGATCAGGGAGGCTAAAGATGGGATTCCTGCTCTGGGATCACAGTCAAACAAAATCAAACAAAATGACCTCTGAGGCTCCTGCCAGCTCTGAGGCTCTAGGAGTCTTAGTTACTTCTTGATTAATTATTTCTTAATTAATAGCAAACCAAACATTGCAGCAACAGGCAAGCTAATGAACTAAATGAGGGTAATCTGTTCACTACACCCGTGTAGCACATGATTGGGATGGGAGATTCGCAGACGCCTACTTGATATTTCCACTTCCTTCTCATGGAGCGGGTGGCAGGAAATAAACACAATGTTCTCGGGCTTTTCCCTGTGGGCGTGCGGAGGTCCCGGCAGATCCCAGCACTCGGCTTCCTCTCCACGGCTCCAGGCCTTGGGATCGTTTGTGTCCCGTGCCCCAAACACAACAGATTTGCCCCAGTTGGTGCTTCCTGTGAGCCCAGAATAGAAGCTGCCATCTGTCACGTTTTAGATGTCATATGTCCACTGATGACTCGAAAACAGGGTGTATCACCAAGAGGTGCGGGGAGGAAGGCAGGTGAGAACCAGCCAACCTGGTGAAGTGCAGCTCAGCCACAAGCAGAGACGGTTCATGGGGGCGGGGCAGCCAGGCCCTTCGGCGGCCTGCAGGCAGAATGCCTGGGGCTCTCCAGTCCTGAAAGTCACCCTCATCTTCCATCTTCTGCGAAGACAGAGTGGCCCTCAGGAAAGGGTATGTCTGGGATGGGACAGCTTATTGGCGCAGCTGGTGCGGGGTTGGAGGTTGTCCCCAGCCAGCTGGGCTGAGGGGGAGGACTCCTGGGGAGTGCCACGGTGGGCGGGTCGGCCCCCAGAGGGGATGCCCCGGGCACACACCAGGCGCTTTTCATCCAGCAGGGACAGGTGGTACTCGCACAGGTCAATCAGCGAAGCCACCTGCTCATGAAGTGGCAGCATCTTGAACTTCCTCTGAGCCAGGAAAAAGAAGGCTTCTACGAAGGCCTGCAGACACATCCCTGTGAACAAACAGACTGAATGAGGGGTGCACATACTGCCCATGCTGCCCTGGAAAGGCCCATCTCTGGCCCCAAGGATGTCAGCGAGAAATGGCCCTGCTCCCCACCGTCATCTCCATTCCAGAAACTCCTATCAGAGCTAACTCACAGAATGTCCACCAGGCACTAACTAGGCATTTGACAGCCATGTACAGACCCAATTCCTCACACAGCCCTATGAAGTAAGTTCGATTAACTCCATTTTACAGATGAGGAAGTTGAGTCTCAGCAACATGGAGAGACCTGGGGAAAGTTATATGAGATTTAAACTTAGCTCAAAGCCTTGTAAAATATCCACAATGAAATGCCCCCATTAAAACCCAGCTTTTGGCCGAGCTCAGTGGCTCATAGCCGTAATCCCAGCACTTTGGGAGGCCAAGGTGGGTGGATCACTTGAGATCAGGATTTTGAGACCAGACTGGCCAAGATGGAGAAACCCCATATCTACTAAAAGTACAAAAATTAGCTGGGCGTGGTGACACATGCCTGTAGTCCCAGCTACTCAGGAAGCTGAGGCAAGAGAATCCCTTGAACCTGGGAGGCGGAGGTTGCAGTGAGCTGAGATCCTGCCACTGTACTCTAGTCTTGGTGACAGAGCAATACTCCAGCTCAAAATACACAAAAAAACCCAGCTTCTTAACTTGTTTAATCAGGGAACGAGGTTATGAATATATGAAGATAAACCCAGTTTGACAGCAAAGTTCCATCTCACGATAGTGATGCTGGTTACATGGGTGTATGCATTTGTCAAAACTCAAATTGTATCATAAGGCTCATGCATTTTGCTGTCTGCAAATTTTGTCTCAAAAAGTAAAATAAATCCAACCGTCTTTTCTCTGGCCCAAATTACATTCTGGAAATATAAATAGTAATCCCTAAGACACTCCTGGAATGCTCTTCCCTGGTTTAGTCTTATAAGCATCTACCGATGTTTGGAACCTGAGCTCAGAATCACTCATTCAGTAAAACCTTCCTTCCTGATCCCCAGATTAGACCGGGCCCCTGATACAGGCTTCCTTCCCTTCTCTATGCAGCACCTGCTGCAGCTTGCTCTGTGTCTGTCTGTTTGTGTGGTCTCCATCCTCCTCTCTGGACTTCATGCTTCCCATGCTGCACAGAGGTGCTCAGTATAGACAAATGAGTGACTGAATGAATGAATGCACTGATGCTAGGTACTTTACCGAGATTGCCACTAATTCTCACAATACCTTTATGAGGTCAATATTATTATGCCATATCTTATAGAATAAGAAACTGATTAGCTAGGGAATAATAAAGTACTTGCCAAAAAAAAAAGAAAAGAAACTTACGGCTGGGGTGGTGACTCACACCTGTAATCCCAGCACTTTGGGAGGCTGAGGCAGGCAGATCACAAGGTCAGGAGATAGAGACCATCCTAGCCAACATGGTGAAACCGTGTCTCTGCTAAAAATACAAAAATTAGCTGGGCATGGTGGCTCGTGCCTGTAATCTTAGCTACTCGAGAGGCTGAGGCAGGAGATTCACTTGAACCAGGGAGTTGGAGGTTGCAGTGAGCTGAGATTGCGCCACTGCTCTTCAGCCTGATGATAGAGTGAGACTCCTGGTCTCAAAAAAAAAAAAAAAAAAAAAGAAACTGATACTCAGAGAAGCAACTTCCCTAGGGTCACATAGTCAGGGAAGAGTGACCTAAAAAACTGATTCCCAAGTGTTTTAACTAAGTTGTTAAAAACTTAGTTAAGAATTTTAACTGCTTGAAAAGGTCTGAGTTTCCCCAATGTCCAAGTAAAACTGAACCCTGGGATCTAAACCTATAGGACTCCCTGGGCTCCTTGGGAAAGGTGACAGTAAGGCTGGACTGAATGCCATGTGGCATTTTAGATTAGGCTGGTGTTGACTCTGAAATCCACACCTTCCTGGTGATCATGCATTATTGTTACCTGCTTCTGGCACCCGCAGCAGAAGCCTGGTCTAGGGTTTATAGATCCCCGGTTACATACAGGTCCTGGGATCTGAGAGCTGTTTTTGCCTTGGGAACTTGAGCTGGGCAAAGAAGTTGTGTTTTGTCTCCCTCCTAGTCCATCAAAGCTCCTGGGCTGGGCTTCTCTTGACTCCGGACATCCTACGAGGCCCTGCTCTGTTTCATCCTGACATGAGGAGCTGATAAAAAGGGTTTTACACCAGGGTTACTTTTAATGTAAACAGAGGCCTGGGGTGGACCAAGACACAGGGATGTGGGAGCCTTGGTCTGACTCAAGAGACAGATGTTTTCTAATCACTAACTCTGGGCCAGGGCTCTCCTAGGGTGGGCTGTGCCTGTGCAAATATGTGCATCTGTGTCTGTGAGACGGTCGGGTGGGAGGGTCACACACAGAATGAGAAGATTAGGATCAAAAGCTAGAGAAACCCAGTCCCAGCCCCCTATTTTCCAACTGTGTGATCTAAACAGCGCCACTCAAAGTGTGGCTGGCTGACAGTGCCAAGCCCACGAACTGTGTGTCCCTGGTCCCTGACAAGATAAGGAGCAGGGGCCAGAATGTTAATCACGGCCCTCATCAATCACATTGTTTAGTTTTGTTGGCAGTAGTTAGTATAATAGCACGTATTCTTCTGTAAACCAAGCAGCGTGCTATATACATTCTGGCTCAGGCCTCTTGTCCAGGGCTGTGAGTCAGTGGGTTGCAACTTTGAGTAACTCTGCTCTGCACAGCCCTTCCCAGCTGTAATGCGCACTTCAGCCACCAGCTTGTCCAAATTCAAACCCTGGGCTGGGGCCAAAGACACCGAATTTCTAGCAAGCTTCCTCGTGGTGCTTATCCCACACTTTGAATGGCACTCACTGCCCCTCTTTACTTTACAAATATCAGTTCTGTTCATTCGGTTGAAGGTAGACTGTGATTAGAGCTATAATGCATAGAAAACATACAATGAGGACTGATTTGGAAAAAAAAAAGGCTGGCAACATTATCTAGAAAAAGATATTCTCAAAGGAGAAGTGGGATCTCACTGTGCTGGCTCGGCCTGCTTTCTGCTTGTCTGCATTTTGTGATTTTCTACAGTAAACACGTTTGCAACTTAAACATCTGCAGTGGGAAATTCAAGTGTGTGGAAAGAGATGACATAGGCGGAGATGCTTTTAATTATGGACCCCTTTCTACGATTTGAATTTGAAATCAGGTACTTGTATTACTCTGAAAAACATACAATGCAAACTTTGTACATATATTCTACTTAACTTTTTATCAAAATAGAATATATATTTATATTTCTATATATTTATAAATATATATTTATATTTTTATAAAATTTATATTTTATAATTTAATATAATTTTATATTTTTATAAAATTTATATTTTATAATTTAATATAAATATATATAAATATATACAAATACAAATATATATATTTATATATGTAACATATATTTATATATAATATATACATATATAATATATATTTACATGTATTTATATATTTTTTATATATATGCATACATATATATGGGTTACTGGTTGTATAAAACCATATATATAGGGTTTTACACCAGGGTTACATTTGGCAGGGCTGAGATTTGAACCCAAGCCTCATGCACTGCTGCTTCTGCACCTTATTCCCAGAAACCCTCTGGAGCATCCCTGCCAAGAGCATTTGAGGATGGAAATGGTAGAACCTGCAAGGAAACACGGAAGCCAATGCCTCGGAGGATCTGGGGGTTGGGGCTTCGGTAGAGGCTTGTGGGGAAGTGGACATTACAGTAAGGCCTTGCAGAATGGGGAGGGCTTTGAAGGGCAGAGATGTGCTGGGGGTGGTAGACTGGGCAGAGAGCAGGGACCTGCAGGGCAGGAAGGCGGGGTGGATGGCCCGGGAGCCTGCTGCAGAACAGGCTGGGGAAGAGGCCAAAGGGACTACACCCGGAAGCCATCGGTGGCCACTGCGGGGCTGGAGTCAATGCTGGATGAAGCCACCAGGACCCCCCTGCAGGTGCTGGGCAAGGCCCGTGTGATCCGAGTCCCATGGGTGTGGACCCGTAACAGCCTGATCACATTTTCTAGTCTGGTGATTTCTAACCATTTTTTTAAAAATAGTAATGAAGACTGTGAGGGATTCTTTTTTTCTTCTCTTGTTTTATTTCTCAACTGAAATCTTCTGAGGGAGTCCAGTATGGCAGACAGGTAAAGGACCTCTCTCCCCGCTCTATTTAATCCAGGTGAAGGGTGGCTCAGAGCCCTGCCACACAGTCCCTCATCCCTCAGGGGCCTTGGATCTTCATGAGCAGCACAGTCACCGTCACCCTGAGGCCCTCAAACCCCTGCCTAGCAACTGCATTTTGCTGAAGAGTGTTGGGGGTATCTGAGGCCCCCAGTCACACTCAGCAACTGACAGAAACAGGGCTCGACCCCAGCTCTGGGACCAGTGCCCAGGGCACCCTCAAACCACATCTCCCCTTCTGAAAAGAAAATGAACGCAGAATCAAACCAATCACTTCTCCAGCCATGGGCTGTCTCCACTGACAGACAGCCCTGCTGAATGTATCCCAGTGAGTGCTGGGACCAGGGGATGCCCCAAACTGCACGCCACAAGCACATGGGCCTCTGGTCCCCACAATGGCCCATTCTAATGGCCCTTTGAGTTTGACTAGACTTGGCTTTAATCCTCAATTCATCAAGGAGGCCCAGGAAATATTCACTGACCCAGGCCAAAATTCACTGAGCTTACCGTTTGAAGGTTTCAAGGGGATGGGGGTGGGAGGAGGAGTCAGTGCACTGAGATAATTCAAGTTACGCTGCAGGAGCAGGGCTGCTGAGTTCCTGCTGAGACTCCAGCTTGGGCTCTGGGTCATCCCCCACCGGCTGCAGTTTCCAGCCTTTCCAGAGCATCCACAATAGAACTGGGGCTTTCTCCTTCCTTATGTTTACTTACTGTATTGTAATGAGAATCTCAGCAGAAAGTGCAGTAGAACCTGTGCCTGGCCTTCCCTCC